AGGTAGGGGGTGGAGTCCTGGGGGGCAGTTAGGAGCAGGGGTCCCAGGAGGGGGCAGTCAGGGGACAAGGAACGGGGGGAGGGTTGGGGGTTCTGAGGGGGGCGGGAAGTGGGAGGGGCGGGGCTAGGGCAGGACGGGGGCGGGGCTCCTCCCGTCCTCTTTTTTGCTTGCTGAAATATGGTAACCCTACTGTACGGGGACATCCGGCTCGCTGCCTCTCCCGCTGCCGGCTGACCTGCTTGGATGGGTGCGTGGGGGGGGACAGGGACGTAGGGCCCTTCCCCGCTGAGAGAGCAGGGGTGCCTGGGGAGGGCCATGCACAGCTCTCATGTCACAGGAGCCTGGGGAGGTTGCAAAGGCTGCTGGGACGGTAATGGCCTGCCCCCTTCCTCTGCCACTGCAGATATACAAGGAGCAGCTGAACACGCGCATCGTGCTGGTGGCCATGGAAACGTGGGCCTCCGAAGACAAGATCCACGTGGGGGAGGATTCGCTGCAGACGCTGAGTGACTTCATGAGATACCGGACGGAGGCGCTGCCGGAGCAGAGCGATGCTGTTCACCTCTTCTCGTGAGAGCCGGGACGGCCGTGCGGCCCTCCTCACTACCCCCACAGCCGGCACTCCTGCCCCGCTTTCCACAGCGCCCCCTGCTGGGAGAAGCCGGGACTGGAGTCGCCGAGAGCTCCCCCATGGCTGGTGCTCCTGCCCCGCTTCCCACAGTGCCCCCTGCTGGGAGAAGCCGGGACTGGAGTAGCCCAGAGCTCCCCCACAGCCAATGCCCCTACCTTACTCCCCACAGCGCCCCCTGCTGGGAGAGGCTCATGTTGAGAATACTCTTTGTGATTTTAACTCTGATTAACTAATCCTCACAGTCCTCCATGAGGTAGGGCAGGGTCATCGTCCCCATTTTATAGATGGGGAAACTGAGGAAATGCAGTAGATCTCATCCATCTGGATTCCAGTAAAGCATTTGATATAGTTCCACATGGGAAATTATTGGTTAATTTGGAGAAGATGGCGGTTAATATGAGTATTGAAAGGTGAGTAAGGAACTGGTTAAAGGGGTGATTAGAGCAGGTCATACTGAAAGGTGAACTGTCAGGCTGGAGGGAGGTTACAAGTGGAGTTCCTCCAGGATTGGTCCTGGGACGAAACTTATTTAACATTTTCAATGACCTTGGCACAGAAAGTGGAGTGTGCCGATTAAATTTTCAGATGACAGGAAGTTGGGAGGAGGACTGGAGTATCCTACAAGAAGATTTGAATGACTTTTGAAAACTGGAGTAATAGAAATGGGATAAAATTGAATAGTGCAGAGTACAAAGTCATGCATTTAGGGACTAAACAACAAAAACTTCTGCCATAAGTGAGGGACTTCTCAGTTGGAAGTGACGAAGGAGGAGAAAGACCTGGTATATTGGTTGATCACAGGAGGACTATGAGCTGCCAATGTGGCGCGGCTGTGAAAAAGGCTAATGTGATCCTAGGATGCATCAGGCAAGGTATTTCCAGTCGAGACAGGGAAGTTTTATTGACATTATACAAGGCAATGGTGAGACCACATCTGGAACACCCTGTGGAAGTCTGGTCTCCCATGTTTAAGAAAGATTAATTCAAACCGGGACAGGTGCAGAGAAGGGCTGCTAGGATGATCCGAGGAATGGAAAACCTACCTTAGGAGAGGAGACTCAAAGCACTTGGCTTGTTTAGCCTAACCAGACAAAGGCTGAGGAGAGATCTGATCGCTCTCTATAAATATATCAGAGGGATAAATACCAGGGAGGGAGAGGAATTATTTAAGTTAAGGGCCACTGTGGACACAAGAACAAATGGCTATAAACTGGCCATCAACAAGCTTAGGTTTGAAACTAGGCGAAGGTTTCTAACCATCAGAGGAGTGAAGTTCTGGAGCAGTCTCCCAAGGGGAGCAGTGGGGGCAAAATCCTAACTGGCTTCAAGACTGAGCTTGATAAGTTTATGGAGGGGATGGGATGATGAAACTGCCTACAGTGGCATATGGCCCATGTGCACCTGTTATTAGCAAATATCTCCAATGACTGGTGATGAGACACTAACTAGATGGGGAGGGCTCTGAGTTACTACAGAGAATTCTGTCCCAGGTGTTGGCTGGTGGGTCTCGCCCACATGCTCAGGGTCTAACTGATCACCATATCGGGCTGGGAAGGAATTTCCCCCCCGGTCAGATTGGCAGAGACACTGGGGGGTTTTCACCTTCCTCTGCAGCATGGGGAATGGGTCACTTGCTGGTTTGAAGTAGTGTAAATGGTGGGTTCTCCGTAACTTGGCTTGATGTCTTTAAACCATGATTTGAGGACTTCAGTAACTCAGCCAGAGGTTAGGGCTCTGTTACTGGAGGGGGTGAGTGAAGTTCTGGGGCCTGTGATGTGCAGGAGGGCAGACTAGATGATCATGATGGTTCCTTCTGGCCTTAAGTGTATGGGTCTATGAGACATGGAGGGGGAAGCCTGAAGCTGTTAATCAGCGGCAGAGCCAGGAAGAGAACCCAGGAGTCCTGGCTCCCAGGCCTGTCTTTCGACAGGAGAGTCGTGTTGTCTTTCCATTCCCTCCTCCGTGGAAGGTTCCTTTCACAAGCCCAGCCAGGGCTGAGCCCTTGGGTGCTAGTGACACTAAGAGCCATGCAGCTGGGCTGCTACCACTCACCTCCTCTCTCCTTGTTCCCTTGCAGCGGGAGGACGTTCCAGAGCAGCCGCAGCGGGACGGCCTACGTGGGAGGGATCTGCTCCCTCACCCGGGGTGGGGGTGTCAATGAGGTGGGTGGGGAAGAGAGTCCTGCCTGTTCTGGGGCAGAGGAGTCCAGGGGCTTGGAGGGAACATGGTCCTCTGCATGCAGCTTTGACCCTCAGCCAAACACAGCCTCCCCCTTGGAGATAGGAGGTGTGGGGAGCAGTGGGAGGGTGTTGGGCTACAGAGCAGGATACTGAGGGGCTGTGGACTGCACTGGGAGGCCATGGGATTGAGGGGCAGGATTGTAAAGGGTTGTGGGGCTGCAGGATCTGGGGGGAGGGGTATGGGATTGTGGGGCAGGGTTCTGGGAAGTTGTGGGGCTGCAGGATCCGGGGGGAGGGGTATGGGATTGTGGGGCAGGATTCTGGGAGGTATTGGGACCTGCGGGGCAGGGTTCTGGGAAGTTGTGGGGCTGCAAGATCTGGGGGAGGGGACAAATGGGATTGTGGGGCAGGGTTCTGGGAGGTTGTGGGGTGGCAAGATCCCGGGGGAGGGGGGAATGGTATTGTGGGGCAGGGTTCGGGGAGGCTGTGGGGTGGCGAGGATCCGTGGGTTGGGGTATGGAGATTGTGGGGCAGGGTTCTGGGAGGTTGTGGGGCTGCAGGATCCGGGGGTTGGGGTATGGGATTGTGGGGCAGGGGTCTGGGAGGTTGTGGGGCTGCAGGATCTGGGGGGGGGGGGGGTACCTGATGGATATGGGGCTGTGAAGGGGCTGGTGGGAGCTCAGGGAGCCCAGGGGACGAGCGCACAGACGGGGGCTGCTGGCGTCTCTCCCCTCCCAGCAGCACTGATGGCTTTGCCGTTCTCTCGCTGCCCCAGCAGTACGGGAACGTCGGCGCCATGGCTGTGACTCTCGCTCAGACCCTCGGGCAGAACGTCGGCATGATGTGGAACAAGCAGCGGCGTGCCGCAGGTACAGCACCGAGCGTGCAGAGGGCTGAATGTTTGGCACTGACATGGGCACGGGGTGCCAAGAGCAGCCGGCACTGCCGTGCAGTCGGCGGGTGTGCAAGGGCACAGGCTGCTGCTGGCCTGCCAGGGGCTGGGCCTGTGCGAAGCAGGGCACAGCTAGGCCAGTCCGTGGATGGGTACAGGTGGAGTGTGTGGGCACAGGTTGGCTGCGGGTGTGCGGTGGGCCGGGGAGGGGCGGGGGTTAGAAGTGACTGACTAGGGGCAAAGCAGGCGGTGCTGGGGCGGGTGGCTGGGATGATGGGGCTAAGCAGGGGTTTGGAGGGTCAGGCGCAGGGGCAGTGAGACGTGCCCACTACTCTTTCCAAGGTGCAAGGCGCCTCCGGAACAGGCTGCAGAGCTGGGGGTGGGATGGCCCCATTGCCAGCATGTACACTCTGGGGGGCTCAGCCCTGAGGGCGGGGGTCAGATTGCGCTCGGGATGGGGCAGTGTCCCAGGCCGAGCAGCAAACTCGCAAATCCTGGCTTTGAGGATTTAGGAAGCCAGTTTGGGGCTGCATCCTGAAATGACAGAAGGGGGTGACGTGTCCCCATTGCTGAGGTACGGCCTGGGGAGCGCCAGGGGGGAGGCTCTTTCCAGATGCCTCCGGCGGAGTTACCGGGGGGCTCAGTGCCTGCGCTTTGGCCCCATGACGGCACGGCAAGGGCTGGGGTTCCCTAAAGCGCTGTCCCGTCTCTCCGCAGGGGACTGCCGGTGTCCAGATTCCTGGCTGGGCTGCATCATGGAAGACACGGGGTGAGTTCCCTTCTGGTCAGTGGGCGAGGGGGGGCTTGGCGTCCCGGGAATCTGAGCCAAGGAGGGAGTGGGTGAGAGCAGGGACCAGCTGTCCATCGGCATGCACAGCAGCTCTGATTGGCGCCTGGAGCCGATGGGGGTGGGACAAGATGGCAGTGGGCTCACAGATGTGCTGGTAAAACATATGGGTGGCACCAGCCATTTCTGAGCCCTGGGCAGGGCATTTGCTGATCACCAGCTGCTGCCATGAAGGTACATGAAGGGCACCTCTGCTGGCATGGGGCACACAAGGGGCAGTGCCCCAGAGTACACTGCACATTGCACCCCCTGCTGTCCAAGAGTAGGTCACTCTTGAAGCACAGAGAGACGCTCGGCTTGGCTGGTGAGGCCGGGACCGCCCGCTTCACTAGCTGATCTCGCTGGTGTTGCTGTGCAGAGCGGCTCCTGGCCAGCACGGCTCCTAGGCTGGCCTGCCACATGTTCAGTTCGCCTGTTCTGTGCTCAGAGAGCCTCCTCCCAGCCTACAGTCTGCCCTGGGCTGGTGTGTGACCCTCGCTATGCGCTGTTGAGGGACCGAGCTAAGCCCACAGCAGCCAGGATGTGGCAGTCCAGCCTGACCCCATGGGGCATCCACTGCCTTGCTCTCACGGCTGATGCTGCAGGAGCCTCAGCAGAGGGACTGGCCTGCAGCCCCCGGCACTCCAGGGCTGGGAATGACTCTCGGCATCTAGTGCGTGTCTCCTGCTGAGCTGGGCAGGACGCAGTGTGTAGGAAATAGACTGTGCGGAGGGCACATAGAATCATAGACTATCAGGGTTGGAAGAGACCTCAAGAGGTCATCTAGTCCAACCCCCTGCTCAAAGCAGGACCAACCCCAACTAAATCATCCCAGCCAGGGCTTTGTCAAGCCGGGCCTTAAAAACCTCTAAGGAAGGAGATTCCACCACCTCCCTAGGTAACCCATTCCAGTGCTTCAACACCCTCCTAGTGAAATAGTTTTTCCTAATATCCAACCTAGACCTCCTCCATAGCAACTTGAGACCATTACTCCTTGTTCTGTCATTTGCCACCACTGAGAACAGCCGAGCTCCATCCTCTTTGGAACCCCCCTTCAGGTAGTTGAAAGCAGCTATCAAATCCCCCCTCATTCTTCTCTTCTGCAGACTAAACAATCCCAGTTCCCTCAGCCTCTCCTCATAAGTCATGTGCTCCAGACCCCTAATCATTTTTGTTGCCCTCTGCTGGACTCTTTCCAATTTTTCCACATCCTTCTTGTAGTGTGGGGCCCAAAACTGGACACAGTACTCCAGATGAGGCCTCACCAATGTCGAATAAAGGGGAATGATCATGTTCCTCGATCTGCTGGCAATGCCCCTACTTATACAGCCCAAAATGCCGTTAGCCTTCTTGGCAACAAGAGCACACTGTTGACTCATATCCAGCTTCTCGTCCACTGTGACCCCTAGGTCCTTTTCTGCAGAACTGCTGCCTAGCCATTCGGTCCTAGTCTGTAGCAGTGCATGGGATTCGTTCCGTCCTAAGTGCAGG